CTTGTAGGTAGAAGCCTCTTCCTGTGTCACCTGACTCTCCCTCCCCCCGCACCCCCCCCAAGTCAGGCAGATGGGTAGATAGGCAAATGAAACAACTGCAATGAGGCCAGGGTTTATCTGGAAAATACTGGACTTCAAGTGGTCTTCCTTTTTAGGGGCACCAAAGGAGAAAGGCTTTCTGTCCATTTGCCCTGGCCTCAAGTCTTGCTTTTTACTACTTGGAGCGTGCGTGCGTGCGTGTGTGTGTGTGTGTGTGTGTGTGTATTTTTACTTTATTTGCTCATGTTGCTTAACAGCAGCTTGAGATGTTGCTATACTCAGAGTTATAACATTTATTTGCATTAATCTCTGGGCTGATCTAGGTCTTAATTGTGAAGGTGAACAGGCAGGAATGCCATATTGTGATGAGTAAGTCCAACTTGTTCAGACCTCTCAGGACATATAATAGTTGGTTGCATTTATGTTTGTATACTATATATCTGTTTTTTTTCTTTTCATTCAAAAGGGACCTTCACAATCGGTTCTTGAGTGTGATACTTTAAAAACTCAAGCACAAAATCTTAACTGGAAACTTTATGTTTAAAAAATGTTTTTAAATATGTTTGTATTGATTTTAGAGAGAGAGAGGAAATGAAAGGGAGAGAGAGAAACATTGATGAACGAGAACCATCTATCTGTTGCCTCCTGCACGGCCCCTACTGGGGATCAAGCCTGCAACCCGGGCATGTGCCCTGACTAGGAAATCAAACCAGTGACCTCTCAGTGCAGAGGACAATGCTCAGCCAACTGAGCTACACCAGCTAGGGCTAGAGATTTTTAAAAGGTGGGCAGGCTTACTTTTTCCAGGTTCTTCAGTTTGTGGGTGGGAAACTGATCTATTTAAATACCCCACCTATATTTAAATTTCCTTGATTATCTCAGAAATGTCTTTTTACAGTTGATTTGTTTGAATCAGGATCCAAAAAAGGTACATACATTGCATTTGGTTGTTATATATAAGGCTCTTCTTAAATCATACCCTGCAGACTTTTCTTTCATAGCCAATCATGTTACTCTTTTGCATGCAGATTTAACTCCGGACTTCATAGCATAGGCATTAAAAAGTCTTTTGAGGTTTTCCCAGTTCTACCCATTCCTTGAGTCCTGAAATATCTTTCCTATCTACTGGCAGAACTCCCAAGATTCTGCTCAAATGTATTGCCCTCTCTGTGGCACTCCACTCCAGTCTAATGAATTGTCCCTTCATCTGTTTCCCTAACACTTAGTACTTACCTCTGTTACAGTGCGCATAAGATCATATTGCCATTTATTTGTTTGGTGTATTTGTACTACAAGTGGATTAGTATAGAATGGTGGAAAATAAGGCTGGAGAGATGCCAGATAATTAGCACCTCTAGGGCAAGGGTGACATAAACGTCATTTCTGTCACTTCAGACAGCATAGTGCCTAGCTCATAGGAGGCACTCAGCAAATGTTTGTAGAATTGTATTAAATAAAAACACCCTAACTTCTGGAATATTGTTAGTTTAAAATTCTTAGTTGTTTTTAGTTTACTGAACTATGAATTCTTGAATTTCCAACTACAGGAATAGAAGGCAAAACTGGAAATTATATCTGAGTATGTTCTTTGTTGCTTCTGTTCTTTTTCTGCATTTAGGAGGTTTGCTTGTTAGTTCATAGTATAGACTTCACTTGGCTGTGTTTTATTATTCCTATTTGGTCTAATTAAACTCTTTTCCTTGCCATAGGATCTGACAGATAAGAACCAGAGGCCTTGGGCTCTTTTGTGTGTGTGTGTGGTTTGCAAGGTTAAAAAGAATTTAAAACATTTTCTGTGTATTTCTGGATTTCTAAAATGGATAGTTCCCCTCCATCAGAATGATCATATAGCTTTTGCTTTACATCAGATTTTCATTGAAACTTCTTAGAAACAAGTAAGATTGAAGTGATTCCAGTGATTGTGTGGCCACTAGAATTGCTATCTTTTGTTTTACATTGAAGGATTAAGCATATTACATTTTGATACCCCCCCCCCCTTTTAGCTTCAAAATCTGCAGTCTTCTTTGAAAGCTGCTGTTTGAATAAACAAACAGATGAGAAATGATCTTGAATGGTAGCATCTAAAAAGAGGCTCTTTTTTTCTGTCCCAGATATGTGGTATAATGGAAGAAATGAGAGGGTAGGGTATTTTGTTTTCTTCTCAGTTGGTCTGGTAACTCCTGCCTCTTCCTTTTTGGGGCCTTAGTTTCCCCATCTTTAAAATAAAAGTGGAAATAGTTTCTTACAAGGTTAACTTAGGTTCTGCCATTCACAACTTGAACTAAAATTTTGAATTCTATTAGATATGCATTATGCAAATGCTGCAGATGTTGGATGCAGAATTTTTTTCATCTACATTACAAAATTAATATTAGCAAGTAGAAAATGTACTGATTTCTTATTTCTTTTTCTCCTCTTCCTACTCATAAATTCCAGGAATCCTTTTAGTCTTTTTAAATGATTTTTCCCCTTTGCGTTTGTTTTTAACAATTTTACTGGGAGCCCTAGTTAAGATTTAGAGTTAGTTTTTTATATTCATGTGGTCCATAAGATGCATGTCTTATTCTCTTCCCCCTTCCTCTCAGTAGAGCCTATAAAGGGCTTTCAAAAACCCTGTGGGACTGAGGATGCTAAAGAAATAATGACTCTGTGCAAAAATAAGACTTACCACCCTGGCTGGTGTGTCTAAGTTGGTTGAGTGTTGTCCAGTGCACCAAAAGGACACCAGTTCCATTCCTGGTCAGGGCACATGCCCAGGTTGTGGGTTCCATCTTAGCCAGGGGTGGGGCGGGGGGGAGGCAACTTATTGATGTTTCTCTTTCACATTGATGTTTCTCTCTTCCTCTCTCCCTAAAATCAATTTTTTAAAAGTTAAAAAAAAGATAAGACTTACCATCTTTTTTTTCTTTCTTTTTTTCATCACCATTACTCCCCCTGTACCCTCTTTGCCCCCCCCTTCTTAAACTATGGTAATGATTTGTTCTTAGGCTTATGGGTACATCACAGATTATTAGACCTACCCTTAAAAATCAAGGACTCTGGCCTTGAGGCCAGTAACTGGATTGGAGCGTAGTCCCAATGCCCCAAGGTTGCAGGTTAGATCCCCATTTAGGGCACACACAAGAGTCAATCAATGAATGCATAGATGAGTGGAATAGCAAAGTCAAGCTCTCTCCCTTCCTCCTTCCCTCCTTCCCCCTCTCCCCCCTTTTCTCTCCCCCACTTCTCTCTCTTTCTCTTAAAAAAATAAAATAAATCAAGGACTCTGCTTCTGTCTTGATACTAGGAGCCAGACTAATAGCTTCCCATTTCATCTTTTCCTCCAAAGAGTGGTGCCATAAAGCAAAGAGGCTTATTACTACACTTCTGTGTGCAGGAGCTGAGTTCAGGTAAATCTGTATCCTTCAGAGAAACAGAGAGCTGCCTTTGGGTATTCCCAGTTGAATAGCTTTTTGCTGATGGACCTTCCCCTTGTTCAGCCTTTCCCCCTCATTCTATTTATAGAGATACATTAAGTTCCACAGGGATTGAGAAGAAAATATTAATCTCTTAACTGGATAGGAGAGGGGGTAGGAAAACTGGCTGATGTGTTGGTGTTTGGGATGAGGTGTGTGGTAGCAGTGGCAGAACATTTATTTTTAGGCAGATAAATTATAGCCTTTTCTCCTCTAATCATTGGTCACTTTGTTTTTGGGACCTATGCTGTAAGTTGACCCTAATGCTCTCTATTGGTTGGAAAAGCCCTCTAGTAAACAGTGGTAGCAATATTTGCCATTTAATTATATGGCTGCCAAGTGACAGGTTCCACTCCACCCAAGCAGGGTCTCCTTTTTTTCTGGAACACTGCTGTAAAATGTGCCTGGCTTTTAAGTTATTCCCAAGGCTAGGGTGCAAGGGAGATTTCATAGGATGAAACCCTGTGCATTTAAAAAGCATTTATACCTAGGAATCGGTCTCTGGGCCATCCCACCTACCCAGTGGAACTTGCCCTCTTATTGGGTTCTGATATCTGAATGGATAACTGGATGTTTGGCGTCATGTGTTGATAGCATCTGACTCACATCTGCCAGCCTCTGCAGCTCTGTGGCAGGGTTTGAAAGGTGTAACGCACAGCGGGCATGACGCACTCTGCCGCATATTGCAGGTACCATTCACAAAGCAGGGAGACATAGCTTAACAATTGCTTAAGATCGTTGGAGTTTTAAAGGAATGAAGCAGGAAGCTTACTTAAAGATTTAAGAATTTGGCTGGGGGCAGGGGATGGAATTTCTAACCTTTGCTTTCTAAAAGGATTTTGCAGACCTAGTTTCCTTTCTCCACATTCTTTCAGGCCAGTGTGTATAACCAGAGCATGGAAATTAAGGACCAGAGTTAAAGTGAACCCAGCAAATAACTCAGAGCTTTGCATTGTAATTTTCTCAGAAAAAATCTGCCTTGTCATCGTTTATTATAATGACAAAAGGCAGGGAATCCCACTCCCCTCTCTCCCCTCCCCCAAACACATGCATAACATGGAGTTTTTGTTTGTCTTTTCCTTGGGCCAGAGGTTTCAACTCTACATTTTCTAGTTCAGTATAGAATAG